TCACATTTATATTATATGGATGTGTTGCCATATAGAACCATGTGAGCTGACTAATAAGTTGAGACTCATTTATACCTTATGCATTCGTTGCCATAGACAGATGTGTGGCCGTCGGGGTATGTGGTTTAATATTATTGGCATGTGTTGCCTACGTGATATGCTCAATATATTCATTAATACCTTGAGATGCGTTATTACTGTGTAGTCCTTACAGTCTGTGTTGTCAGTACCTTGTACCATGTACAATAGCTGATTTCCCGGGTAGGGAAAAAAGACACTTAACCACCTAGTGTGAGTCTAAGTGATCACCGTCTATTCTGGTTGAGGTCATATTATACATTGGGTAGTTCCCTTAGGATGTATACAGATATAATACTCATTCATAATGATTAATTTATTTGATTCTCTGATTTGGGTCACAGTAGAGAGGACTTGCTCGTGGGGTTGACCCACCATTGTTGTTATTTCAGGATACGGTCAGTACCCGTTCCAAGGTTGAGGTTAGCAGTATGGGACCACCATCCGAACTCATCTACTCTTACGATCCAGTTCAGGGTAGAAGTTTTATGTATTACTTCAGTTTCAGTTTTATTTACTTTTGACGTTGTACTCTCAAGTTTATATTTAGGGATCCTTCACATAGGATTTCCAAGTTGTAATGGAGTACTATATTAAATAAAGGATGGATGGATGTTTTATTATTTAGTATTCCTTTCCTGTCTAAATTCTTTTATTATTATCATTTTGTATTACATGCTTGTATATTGCCAATTGTTTTTGATATCTCTCGTTTTTCGTGTATAAGCCTGATCAACTTATGCGTGAAAAATGTTGGGGGTGTCACAAGGCCCGTCATGCTCAAGCCCAAATTGAGTATATTTTTAGCCCAAGACCATTGTTATCTGTCTTCCAACCTCCATCAAGGCCGAATCAAGAGGTCATCAACCCAACTCTTTAATATTTAACATCCGGGCCGTTATTCAAGCCCAGCCGGATCAAAGTATGTTCAGCCCAGTTATTTAAGAATGCACAAGTCCTACCAGTTGAAGGATTTACCATAGAAGGAAAATTCTGAGATAGGAAGTTCTGTACAAGGCAAGTTCTATGTATGGAAAATTAGATAATGGAAAGAACTCTATTAGTAAAGAATGTTTATATAGAAAGAATTGGAGGACAAGCAACGCGAGTCCTACCATAATTTTACAATCTTTTGTATATAAATAGAGGCTTAGACCTCCAATAAAGGGATCAAGCAATTCTACGCTTCGACATATATTGTTCTTGTTTATTTTTACTATTGATTGAGTGAGTTGTTTTATTTTTCTTAATCATTATTGGTTGAGCGAAATTCTGCACCTACAAACTGAAATAAGAATACAGTCCTTAATGACCGCGTAATCGAGGACAGTCATGGGTAATTTTTCCTCCCAACCCTGAAACTGATGAGGTAATAAAGAAGAATCCCTCTCACTCTTACAGCAGTTTCCAGTGGTTTTTTTTTTTTTTTTAGCATACATTCAATATAATTTGAGATCTTATGCTTTTTTTGACATGCGTTTTGTTTATACTATTTTTGTTTTTGGACTATTACAGTATCCAATTTGGCAAGAAAAGCATGATTGGTGCAACCTTGTTTTATTTTTCACAGTGCTAAAATACTTCGCGAACAGAGTGGCCCAAAACAAAAACACCAAAAATATGTTTTTTTCTTGTTTTGACAATTCTTCATGGCCCAAAACCATAAACTGTGCATGTTTCTGTTTTTGACATTTTCACAGCAAAACATCTTTCCTAAACGTGTTTCCAATTTTTTTTTTCCAAAACACTCTTACAGCAAAAATGTTGCTTCTATTTTAGCCAAAAATAAAACGCCTAAAACAAAGCGCATGCCAAACGGATTAGATTTTATAATTACGAATCTTTAACATTCATGCAACATAAACGCTTCAACCTCAAAAACAGAGTAAAATTTGAAGATTTAGATTGTTCAAATTTTGAGTATGTATTGTTAATTAGTATTAATTATTGATAATTTCAAATATTAAGAAAATATGTGATGTAAAATAATGGAAAATGATTATTGCACTTAATAGTTGCAGTGAATTATTAGATCTAATATCTTAATTGATTAATTATGCAACAAATAAAGAAGTTGGCCCTTCACTTAGTTGTATTTAGTATAAATAGTCAATTAAAAATTATTCAATTAGACATTTTAGTAAGTGTTCGGTGATGACTAATTTAAAATAATATTCATAAGATTATATATATATATTGTTATTGTTTAATAATATATATTTTTAATGTGTCCTCCGGAAGAAATGAAAAATAAAGAATAAGAAAAACTTGAAACAGTATTAGCGGTACATTTATAAGTGGACTTAACGTCAATGAGTTTACATGTAGTTTAATTAAAGTTATAACTTTGATGATGAAATATAGAATTCACAATTTTTTTCTTTAGTTGGGCTCAGACATTCAATCACTTTGTTTTATAATGACAAACTTCAATTTTAGAAGATGAAAATTTGTCAATGTATAACTTTTACCGATAGTACAGTACTTATAGTGTGTTTGGAATTAAGTTATCATTTTAAAAAATAACATGAAATAAAATTACATTTTTGCATTTAGAACAAATTAAAATTAATAAGGCTAACTAAGAATTAAACTTGCCATCTCTCACATAAATTGAATAATTCTAAATAATAATGAACAACCAGTTTAGATATTCACAACCAGCTGGTAAAAAAATAAAAAATAGCCTAAATGAAGAAACATGGCCGAAATACGAATAAAAATTTATTATGGACTCAATCATTAGGATAGACGATTAGATATCATTTTGGAAGAGTCAAATGGCAAAGTCAATGATATATATTTATGAAAAAAAAAAAAAAAAAATGGTTGCCAATAACTTTATTTGAGCATTTAAAATTTTAGCTCATGCGGGTAATTCTTGAATTCCATAACACAAATTTGTGTAAAAGAGACATTATGTCATGATGAAGAATGAATTAAAGAAAGTATTCCTAAACAGCTCATACTTGGCTGTTGACTAGGCCAGTTTTGTCATTTGATATTTTTTTCTCTTTTTTCCAAAGACTACTGGATGATACAGTAAAATCCCTTTCTTACAGTGTTGTTTTATCCAATGCAATTAAAACCCTTCCTCACAAACGTAACATACCAAAGATGCTGCTTTCATTTGCACTAATTTCCCGCTCTCCCACTTTCTCTCTATGTACATGTGTGTACATATAGATATAGTCAATAGTTTGTACAAGAAGTGCAAACTATCCGTGTGCCTCTGTTTAAGGATTTGAAGCAATCAAAAGATGAAACCCCGCAGACTCAAGAAAACAGAAGCTCCTTCCAAGGTACATTCTTACTTCTTCCTACACTCTCACACAATTGGAAACCCTAATTATCGTTGATACTCTGTTTGATTACTAGGAAAAAAGAAAGAAAGAAAAAAGGAGCAGAAATGAAAATGTTAGTCTGAATTCGAACGGCATAATATTTGTACGAGGCTTACTTAACTCGACTGTGTTTGTTTGTTTATTTATCATCATAAATAAACACTATTGTCATTTTCGTTTACATTTTTTCAACTGGCTATCAGAATATGTTATTGTTCTCTTGACTGTTACTTGATTCAGGTTTCTGTTGAATTTGCAGCTTACATTGGAAAAAGTAATTGGCTTGATGACGAAGAATGCCAATGGGTTGGATGCAAGCATTTTACATTCGAACAGTGTTTGTGTTTATATTGCAGGGTGTTTTGTGGTGGTTTACAATGTTGATTCAGGCATTCAGTTCGCATCTCATGGTTTCCAATCGAATGCCGAAACCATCTCATAGAAATATATATCTTTAAAGTTGTTAACCCTCACAAGATAATAAATACATGTAAGGCACTTTAATTATAAGTAATTGTATACACTAAGATTTAACACTTTAACAAATATCAATAATGTCGACAATGAAACAAATATCATGTTACACATAAAAATTAATAAAAGAATTTCATGAAACATTATAGATATGCAATTAAGTCATTATATAAGCTCTCTAATAACTTTGTTTATAAAGAATAAGATTTTTATATATTCTTCCTATGGACCTTGTGAGTAGGGATGGCCACAGATCGGATTGCAATGGAATGGGAGATTTTGATTTTGTCACCAATCTATTAGCCAACGGATCAGATCGGATCCAATTTGCGGACTGAATTTTTTCAAAATAGTCTATTTTCACTAATTTCTCTTTGCTATTCTTTAGTTGTTTGAGTTCTATCATCTTTGATTAAATGAAAAGCAGTGATCCACTGCTATTGATTGAGTAATAAAAATTATAAAACTAATTGTATAATACTTACCAAAATAAGAAAACAGGAAAAGGAGGCTATGTTAGGAGTTCATATATATATTGCAAAAAAGTAAAATATTACTATAATATAAAATATTATATATATATATATATATATATATATATATTACGGATTGACCACGGATAGAATTTTTGAAAACCTAATCCGTGATCCGATCCGTGAATTAGGAATTTAATTTTTTTAATCCGCCATCGATCGTGGATATGGTAATTCCTTCCAATCAATACGAATTAATTTTTTATATTATAGTAATATTTTACCCACCCTTATTTGTGAGTACATGATTAATTTTGTTGAGTAAGTTGCTGATTGGGCACTGAGTTACTGACTAGGCGCTGAGTTAAAGCTGATTAGACGATAATGCGACAAATGGACTGAGCTAGTTTCATCTTAACCCTTGGATCCTCGCTGGACTGTGTCCAGTGCGAGGAGGCGCACTGGAGCAGATTCCATTAGATGCAGTGTTAGATGAGCCCCGCCAACAACCACTCAAAAGTTAATGTAGAATATTGGTTGTCAGGCAAACGACAAAGAAGAAAGAACTTTTGGTTGTTGGGCTACGGTTACAGCGCGGTGAATGATGAGGATGCAATGTCCGCACTGATATCTTTGAGTGATTTTGACACAGATATTTTTTAAAATTAAATGGAGTTCAGGCTTTCTTCCCCAGATTCTTCTTCACTTCTTCCTATCCTTCTATAATTTCTCACTCATCTCTTCTTCTTCTTCTCTACTTCAATTTTGGTAGATCTAAAGACATTCCTTGTCACTCTTTACAAAAACCCCAAATCTCTAAACATACTTCACTTGACTTGACCGCAGAATCAGAGTCAACCCTTTCGCCGACCAGAGGGGAAAAAAAGAGATAAAGAAAGCAAGACGAACAGAGAAAATCAGAAACGCCGAAACTTCTTGTCGTCGCTGGATCTTCTTCATTCGTTGCCAAATCTAGCCTCCTACTGCTCGTCAGTTGCCGTTGGACGACGTCAACACCATTATCCACCGCCTCTCTTGCCGCCTGAAAGCCCGGGTTTTTCATTCTCTCCCTCTCTCGAACGATTTGGGAAAAGGAAATCAAAGGCGGTCAGCCCTACCCAACATAGCCTGTCTCCACCTCTCACACGCACATATCCCGTGCATGAATTTGGCATATACTGATAGTTGTCATTTCGAGGTGTGCTACCCATATCCAAAGTGTTAAAAGAGTATTGTTTCACATAATACTTTTATTTGTCTACGTATGCAGAATAAAAGGAAGAAAATTATAAGTAAATTAGTTTTCACTTGTTTAAATAAAACAATTTATTTTATGTATCAGACAAAAAAATATAAAATAAAAATAAAAAACAATTTATTTCTTTTTTTTCCTCCACTATCTTTTTCACATGCAATAATAAAATATTAATTAACACTATTCTCTTCTTTCTTCTTTTTTTCTCTTTATTTATTTATTTATTTTTCTGTGTCTCTTCCCTAGCATTGTAGCACGAGAATCGAAAAATTAGTTCTAGAATTGTAAATAATAGTAATAAGAATTGATCTCGACATTAATTGAATGACTTTCAACAAGGATGCTACCGGTTTGAGGATGTGGAATATTTGAGTCTCGCACTAGCTGCTTTGTATAAAATTATATCTATATATATATATATATATATATATATATGTCATATCAAATGTTTGAAGAAAATATACAAATGTTAAATACTCCCTAATGTCTTCAATTTAATAGTCTACGAGCAAATTGAACACACTGAACAATAATTATCTTCTAGCAAAATTTGGTCTAAAGAAATCTGTGAATATAACCGTGTTATATGACCCTTAGATAATAGGGAAAAAAAAATATATAGATAATAGTTATGAGAATTGGTCCCGACATCTACTGGATGACTACTTTCAATAAGCATACTGCCATCTCCATATATGCTTCTATTTTTTATAATGAGCACAGTAAATGGGGATGGACTTTTTATTTTCTTTCGGAGCATATGATTAAAGTGAAATTAATGGATCAATGATGTAATTATATATACATGTTATAATTATACTGTAGTGTAGTCAATTAGAGCGAAAAAGATATGCCTTTTCTTAACGGTGTCACTTGATTAATTACGTTCTCATTAACTATTTATATAGCTGATTTATTGATAAATTTAATATTCTGATTACACCACTACTTGTATATAGAACAGTAACTCTATTATGAACATGTTGTCACGGTTTATTTAAACTCTCTCAGGCGCCATTGGTTGCATTGGTTGAAGAGCATCTACACGAACACATAGAGAGATTGAGAGAGTCAAGTAGCTAGAGATGCTACTGGAGAGAAGAGAAAGTTGTAGTTCTGATCATCAGTTTACGAGTTCTCAGAAGAAGGAGATGGCCCATAAGGTTACGAGTTCTGTAGTGAAGAAAATTGAAGACAACCAAAAAAAAATCGAGGCTCTGAGATATTTCACGTTTGCCTGGCCAAGGTTCCCCGTCATAATTAGTGTCCCCAATATGCTTCGTGAAGAAAATGTAAAAGCTTATAACCCTAGTCTCATATCTATTGGACCTCTACACAGAGGTAACAAATTTTTGCAAGCAATGGAGGCTGACAAAGTGAGTTACATGTGTTGTCTATTCAAACGAACAGGAGATGTCGAGAAAACACGTGAAGTTTGTGAGGCAGCTATGTTAAAGATGCAAAACATTTTAAAGAAATGCTATGCAGATCAATTAGTGAAGCCGGATGATGAAGATGACATTACCAATCTTATAGAAATGATGTTGATTGATGGTTGCTTCATTATCGAACTTGTATACAGACATTCAAGAAGGGAAAGAGACCCCATTTTGAATAATCCTTTCAAGTGCTCTGCCATCCGGCGTGACTTGCTGCTACTCGATAACCAGATTCCCTTTGTTGTTCTAGAAATGTTGTTCGGGCTGACGGTGGAATGTATTCCTCGGTCTTATGAAGAATCCTCGGACCCTCTTACCCTTATTGGATGTGTCCTTTCATTCTTTGGTGATATAATGGGCTTAGAAGATGCCCAGATGGAATCGAATGCTGGAGTAATACCTCCTCTTCATATACTCCATCTCTTACACATTTGCTACCAACCACAAAAACCTACTTATGACCAGGATGCATCAAGCCACTATCGTCAACTTAAAACAGAAAATGGCAGTAACATGGTAGGAGTACTCTGTGGATGTTGCCAAGGGCAACCCTGCAGATACGAAGAAGATACGGCTGAAACACGATTCCAAGTAGACGACGAAGCAGGTACAGCAACGCAACTCTTCTACAGTGCAGGGGGAGGAGTGGGATACGAAGGTACAGCAACACAACTCGAAATTGCAGGAGTGAAGCTGCGGAAACGTAGTAAAACAAAGAACCTGTTTGATGTGGAGTTTAGGCCTCAGGATAGTTCTTTTTATTTCTGGAGAGGTTGTCTTGAAATCCCACGTTTTTCTGTCTATAATTTCACCGAGTCATTCTTGCGGAACATCATCGCTTTCGAGCAATGCTACCCTTTTTTTGGGAGTTATTTCACATCTCACGCTTTCCTCATGGATATCCTCATGGACTCGGTGGACGACGTAAAATTGCTTGAAAAAGTAGGAGTCATATGTAACCATTTGGGTACAAGTGAATCGGTGCTGCAAATCTTCAATGGTATTTGTAAGAATGCTTATCCACAGGACTTCCATTACGATAAGCAATGGAGGAAGATGAAGGGTTGCTGCACCCATTGGCGAGAAGAATTGGGAACCGTGAAACGTAATTGTGCTGGTAATCTATGGATAGTGTTATCAGTCATTGGTGCAATTTCCCTTTTTGTGCTCACACTTTTGCAGACCGTTTACACCATGAACTCATGAATGAATAGGTAGGTATCTGGTGGAGTACTTTTTTATATATATGTGCAATAATCTTGATGGATGGATGACAATTGAAGCTTGCCTTAATTTGTTTCCTACAACAAGTCAATGATATGATGCCTTGTATTGTTCAACCTAGATCTCAGCATCAGAAATAATTGTATATACTAGTTGTATGTAATCATTGGATCAGTACTTGTAACCTAGTTTATGATTTCTCGCATTTGTAATCTCTGTATCTCTCTCCTGAGTCTCTCGCATGATATATATATAATTAAGATTAGTGTTTGGTTATATGCAGTACTCATCATTTTCCATACTTTCTACACCAGCTTTTCTTCCTTCATTTGGATGCATGACTATATATATTCATGTTGAATTGGGTTGCCTAGAATGAGGCAGATTGCCCACGATGTGGACGAAACCGACCCTTGGTTACTTCTGTGGGTATATTATGAGAGTGATTTGGTGATAGATTTATTACATTAGTATGAAATTTTGATGAGAATTCCTAAATAAACAAAATAGGTCCTTTATTTTGGAAATTTATTATTATTATTATTATTTTCGAACGTGTAAGCAATATGTTGGAAAGTTTTGCAATTTGTTAAATTGTAGGAAATTTTTGTTAAACCTGGTGCCAATTATTAAGAACCATTATGAAAACATCATTTTATTTTTTATTTTTTTTGAGAGTCGGTTCACAAAAAATCTTTCTCCGTACAATTTTTAGCCTAACTATCATCATTACCATTATTTTGATTGTTTAGTTGTCTTCGGGTTGTTTATAGGGTAAATTACACTTATACCCCTTGAATTTTCCATCAATGCCACTCAGCAGACGATTAACACACTTGTTCACATTGATAACCCTAAAGTTTCAAAAGTCATATTTACTACCCTGAACCTGTTAATTGACAAAAATAACCCTAATCATTATTCTGTAATCCCTTCTCAACCACCACCACCACCACAACCACCGCCACATCAAACATGCCTCTGGGTCAAAGGTCAATGGCAGTGGCAAATTTTGAGGAATTCTTTCCAAAGAATACAATAGGTCATGCACACCCCCCCACACACACACCCCCACAACCACCGCCACACCTAGACACCCATTGTCACTCTATAGTAGCAGTGCCATCATCGACACCGGAAACTTCACCGCTTCAACTCATTTTTGACAATAACACAGCACAAAAGATCCAACCCGGTGACCTCCTTTACCTTTGCCGTCGACATCTAGGTGTTGGAATTTATATATATATATTTAAATAATAAAAATTATTTTATGGTCCTATGCACTACGTTTCATAAAGTAAGATTGCAATGTGATTATTGATACTTGATGGATTGAGTTTGTACTTTTCAATTTAGTGGTCTAATTGGGAGTATGGTTTTATACTGTTGAATTGTGGTTTTCTAACTTATTTGGTGTGATTTATTTTTAATCATTGATATCTAAGTTTCCATGATAGGAAGGGAGACTTAGATATGTTTGTTTGTATAGAAGCCGTCCCCCTCTGTTGTTGTTATATATAGGGGTTTTAAAATTCTTATTCAGTCCTATCGTATCGACAACTTTCACTCTATTTTTCAGATTTCTCAAAGGGCGATAAAAAATTCTCAAAGGTATCTTAAGTTTAATTTTCTAATCAGGTATGAGATCAAAACCTCTCTTTTAATTGATGATCAATTTTTGATTTCTACTTGTTATTCGGTTTTTGAAACCCAACAATTGGTATCAGAGCCAGGTTAGGGTTTGTAGAAAAAAAAAAAAAAATTAGTTAATTAAAATTCACATTACAGATTATTTTAAATTAAAGACAGGATAAATAAATAAATTTATATTAATCGCAAACTGTGTACATGAGTTTTGTCCTATTTGGACTGGATTTTGTGTTTGTTTTCCAGATATTCCTGTGTGAATTAATTTCATATTATAATAATTGTTGTTTAGAAACCAATTGATTTATATATACATGAATTCACTGATTTATATACACGAATCAATTGATTGCTGTTGTTATTTACTGCACGCCGAACGAGAGAATTTTTTGATTGTTTTAAATATCAATAAGTTTTAAGTAATATATTAGTCTGGAATGCAACAATAAGAGTTTTGTATTATTGTACATGCCGAACGAGATAAGAAACAAAATTAATGAATTTGCTATATATATGTGTGTGTGTGTATATATATATATATATAGTGTATCAGTTGGTTTCTTTACATGATTATTGCATTTGTAATGTAAAATCTGTATCTCTCTCCTGAGTCTCTCGCATGATATATATATAATTAAGATTAGTGTTTGGTTATATGCAGTACTCATCATTTTCCGTACTTTCTACACCAGCTTTTCTTCCTTCATTTGGATGCAAGACTATATATATTCATGTTGAATTGGGTTGCCTAGAATGAGGCAGATTGCCCACGATGTGGACGAAACCGACCCTTGGTTACTTATGTGGGTATATTATGAGAGTGATTTGGTAATAGATTTATTACATTAGTATGAAATTTTGATGAGAATTCCTAAATAAACAAAATAGGTCCTTTATTTTGGAAATTTATTATTATTATTATTATTTTCGAACGTGTAAGCAATATGTTGGAAAGTTTTGCAATTTGTTAAATTGTAGGAAATTTTTGTTAAACCTGGTGCCAATTATTAAGAACCATTATGAAAACATCAATTTTTTTTTTTTTTTTTTGAGAGTCGGTTCACAAAAAATCTTTCTTCGTGCACTTTTTAGCCTAGCTATCATCATTACCATTATTTTGATTGTTAATTTGTCTTTGGGTTGTTTATAGGGTAAATTGCACTTATACCTCCTGAATTTTCGATCAATATCATTTGGGTTGTTTATAGGGTAAATTGCACTTATACCTCCTGAATTTTCGATCAATATCACTCAGCAGACGATTAACACACTTGTTCACAGTGATAACCCTGAAGTTTCAAAAGTCATATTTAGTACCCTGAACCTGTTAATTGACAAAAATAACCTTAATCATTATTATGTAATCCCTTCTCAACCACCACCACCACAACCACCGCCACATCAAACATGCCTCTGGGTCAAAGGTCAATGGCAGCGGCAAATTCTGAGGAATTCTTTCCAAAGAATACAATGGGTCATGCATACCCACACACACACCCCCACAACCACTGCCACACCCAGACACCCGTTGTCGCTCCATAGTAGCAGTGCCATCATCGACACCGGAAACTTCACCGCTTCAACTCATTCTCGACAATAACACAGCACAAAAGATCCAACCCGGTGACCTCCTTTACCTTTGCCGTCGACATCTAGGTGCTTGGATTCTTGGGGTTTTCCCTACAGGATGTCATGGGTAGTTGGTTTGGTTGTATTGCTTTAATATTTTTTTCTCTATTGCTTTAGATATGGGTTAGCTTTTGCTTCCGGGTTTGCACTTCTTCTTGTATAGGAAGGGGATACCCTTGCTTGATGGACTTGTACATTATCTCTTCTTTATTTGTTTATAAAAATCTCATTTAGGGAAAAAAAAAATGAAGTGTTTCTACATATTCAGGGATAAGGCCAAGTAGAAGTCTTGGCTGGCGAACTCGCACTCTAACTGTATTAATCTTAACAAAGTAACCCAGCAATGTACAGAAAGAATGAGCACAATTTGACAGTGTTATATTTTTTTAAAGCTTGGGAATGCAATTAATGATTTCAACAAGTTTTAAAGTTTGGAGAATGTGATAATGTGGGTTAATGTAACAATTTTTGCCGGTAATATTATACTGATTAAGGGTAAACCAACAAGTAAAGAGACTAACAGTCCATATATCCTATGTAAAGTGCGAACTTCCTAAGAAGAGTCATTTTCCAACCCACTCGAACTATATTCATCTTAACAAAAATTGCTACTTAAGCACCAAACTTTTTTTATGATTACTTTTAAAAGCAAAATAAAAATAAATTATAGCAAAGCCAATCAAAATTTACCTCATCCACTATAGCATATAGAAGCATTTGGAGCTTGCCAATCTCACATAAATTGATTTGAAGAATCTATTAATACACTTTGTGATTTTTTATTATAAGTGTTATACTAAAAATAATAATAATGTGTAAATAAATTTTCAAACCATATCAAATAATGTACTATTATATATAAATAATAATGTATTAATATATTTTAAAATTTTAAAAACAAAACAAAAACACTCCTACCAAACAGGTTTTTTATTTTTGTTTCAGCAATTTTAACAATTGTCAAACTCTGTCAAACAGGTTTTATTTTCAAATTTCTTGAAACAAAAGACGTTGCCAAACATGTTAGACATGTTTCTGCTTTCGAAATTCCCACAGTAAATTTGCGTTGCCAAACATGTTTTTCGTTTTCAACTCAAAGCACTCCATAACAAATCACTTGTTTTGTTTCGGGATAAAACGAAATGCCAAAAACACAATGCGTACCAAACAAGGCCTTAGTGTTTGTAAACATTGAGTTTTTAATGATAAAAGAGTTTTTGTATCTATTTGGAAAAAATATCATTTCAGCTTTTCCAAGGTCACCTCAACAATTTTCAGAACCATGCCAGCAATTTTGGCTTTTCATAAATAGGTATTCCATCAGGCTCTCTGAATTTTCACTCTCTAGAGTTTCAAACGATAATATTTTCAATCAAACAATATATTTGCAAATTATTAAAATACTATGATTGATATTATAACTTTAAACAGTATATTATCCACTATATGGATTAGAAAAAACTAAGATTGATATTATAACTTTAAACAATACATTATCCATTATATGGATTAAAAAATATAGGATTGATGTTATGTTTCACGATTTGCCTGCAAGTTTATAACTTAAATTCATTATCATTTACACGAAAAAATTAAGAATAAATTAAAAGCTGAATGTTTAAAATATTTACGAGTTATGTTTAAAACAATAATTAAATAACTCACCATATCATCGATGCTGAAGCCACTTGGCGATTCATTTCGATGTTAATCATGCACCCAAAAAAATTGCTGATTTGTTTTTGGATGGTGGACCAACGATTTATCAAAGCTTCTACATTTCACGAAGATGGAACACCAAGATATTATACATAACTTTCAAGGATTCGCTGCCATTGTTTCTTCTTACTTTAATTTGCCCCATAATCGCATCAGAGGTAATGGACACCCACGCCCAACATAAAGCTTCATTTTCGGCCATAGACCAATTTGGAATTTGGATAATCGGTTGTTGTGTGGAAGGTTTGGAGTTATTTTATCGAGGATCCATGGAATCG